CCCTGAACGACTCGAAACATGTTTCTTATAGGTTTTCGACAATGCTCTTTCCAGTGGCATCGTTTTTAAATATTGAGAAAGTTTTCTGAAGGGTTTTCCAGAGACCGGATCTCTAGAAAACTCCTTAGAAAACTTTTTCAAAACCCAAGTCTCATGCCATTAGAAAGAGGATCATGAAAAACCTATAAAAAAATGGTTCATGAAATTTTAGTTCACTCATAAAGCTAAAGTCCGCCTGCTCTAGCAAAAAATGCCCACTGTGCCCTCCTCAATCATTTTAATCTTCGACGTGCATACAATGGACCTTACAACACAGAGTGGACTCAAAAACTGTCTCTCCACAGTCTCCGTCCATGCTAAAACCATCACACTCTTCTCAGGTCGTCCGGAAAATTCTACATACCGAGTTGATCTCGAACGTCCATATGAAGGATGCACGAGCGTCGTAGTCAAACGTGTCGAACCCATTGTTTCTACTTGCAGATCACTAAAGTCTGGTGTTGAACAAATTGTGAGTGGTTTGCGTTGAATGTTTCTCAATAACCCCAAATCCTATAACAGCTTTTGGTTTTAGGCCTTTGAATGTAAAGCACTCTCAAGAATCGCAAGCAGTTCGGTCATATCAGTTGAGTCCGGCGTTCAAGTTCCAAAAGTCTATCACTTCGATGAAGCAAACCATGCATTAATTGTGCACGATTGTGGCTCCTTGCCTACTCTCGAAACTTTCGTTTCAGTTACAACACTAAGCAAAGAAATAGTTATGCAAATCGGATTAGCAATCGGTGAGTTTTTGGTGAAGCTTCATCTATGGGATCTCGACGATGAAGGTCTAGAAGCAACGTTTGAAAACAGCATCCAAGCAAAAAGTCTTGTGTAAATACTCGACATATAGATACACAATAAGCTTGTGCGAAACAACCGGATAATTCTTGCTGTCAGGGATGGACTAAGAAGTAATTGCTCAAACTGCATCTTCAAGGTGAAGAAATTATGAAGAACAAAGAAACGTTCATAATGGGAGACTTTTGGCCGGGAAATGTTTTGATCCACATTGATCCTCAAACCACTACATTTCGAAGAATATACATTTTAGATTGGGAAATGGCCAAATATTGTCTACCATTTCTCGATGTCGCCAACTCTACAGCGGAACTTTACCTCTTAGCTCGATTCAAAGATCAGTCCACATTCAGCACAATCTTGTCCTCTTTTCTAATGTCGTATTCGCAAACATACAGTCCAGATAAGAATCATGTCAAACATGTGGCGGTGCATTTTGGAGCGCATTTAGTTATATGGGCGCCAGGAGTCTCTTGGGAAAATGACGACGAAACAAGAGACTGTATTCTTATTGGTGCTGAGTATCTCGTGAGAGCATGGACCAACGAATGGGAGTGGTTGAAGAAAAGTATAATCAAGGATCTTTTTAATGCTGGCTGTCACTATTTAAAATTGCTGAATGCAGTTAAAAGAATAAGATTTGAAAATCATTTATGAAAAATGAAATGTTTGTTTCATTCTCACCCGGTTAATGCTGGATGACTTTCAAGAGTTCTCCAGTTGATTTTAATTTCATTGTTGGCTCTTGCCCACAGTTTTACTTATCCAAAAAATAAGTTGGACGATTTTACTGTGACTACAAAACACGATTGTAAAACGGTTTTATTAAGTTCAAACAAAGACAAGTTTGAAAGTCAGAATCATTAAGTAATCAAGTTTTTTCTTAGAAAACACAGCAATAGTGTTGAAGTGTTTTTTATCGTGATTTCTTTGTAGCAACCACTACAAAATTAATGCACGGTTTGCTTGGTGGAAGTGACAGACTTTTGGAACTTGAACGACGGACTCAAGTGATATGACTGAACTGCTTGCGACTCTTGGGAGAGCTTTATATTCAAAGGCCTAAAACCAAAAACCGTTTCATTAACTAGCAAATATTTCCAGATATTTATTATGAGATATCTTGTAGCAGGCATTACTACCAGTCGACTTTTCTTCTAATAAAGTTCTAATAAGAAGTTTCTTCTAATAAATTAAATTTTATTGATTAAAAGAAAAAAAATTGTCTTCTAGATCCTCTCTATGATATAAACACGTATTTAGTAAAATCCGAAGAAGAACAATGTACATTTTCCAGCTGGTATTATATGGACGTTTAGAAATCGGCCGAACAAGCACATAAGTCAGTTTAATTAGAATACAGTCGTAGGAGATTAGACTCCGTTCACATTGTGAATCCTTGTTTTCTTTCTTTCCGTATTGTAGACAGAAAATAGAGACAAATAAAAAAACAGTACAGGATAAGAAGAAAATTCCTATTCGCGTGTAAGAAGAAACATAACAGGTGAGAAGTGACGAATAAAAAGCTTTTCTTATTTATCTACCCAGTGTGCTGACTATCCGGATTGACATCGAGAAAATAACATAGTCAGTCAATCTAACTTTTTTGTGTTATCTTTTAAACATGTTGTTGTCCTAATTTAAGAGCTTTTTCAAACACGTCAATAGATGCTGTTAACACTTTACGTTTTTGCATTTGTGCGACTGGTTCCATCATCAAACTAAATAGCTCCGATGACGTGAACATCGTTAATAATTTTTTATCTAATGTCATAGCACATTTTGTAATAAACTGATAGTAGCAAATCATGCTAACATTATCGATAACACGTTGCTGAACAATTTTACAATATGAATGTAAGGCGATTTGTAAATAATTAGCTGTCTCTTTCTCCGCTAATAATTCAATACGTAAACCGTCGAATTCAAATGGTACCGTTAGTGCAGTTCTTATTTCTGTTTTGACTGATGGAGTATTGTTTTTATTCGCTTTTTCTTTGTGTTCATTATGTGCTAGTTGAATTTTATTGATTATCTCCAGATACCTTTCATTTAGTGTAAATGGACGTTGTTCCATTTCTAATAGTTCAGTAACACGTTTCAAACACTCTTCTTCAGCTAAAATAATCGAACAAGAACAAATAGGTATGCTATAAGAGTGGACTATTTTGTCTAAGTTGTCTTCTAATAGACCTGTAGGAGAAAAAGTCTTAAGCTCACCAAGATCTATTTGTGTTTTGATAGCATCTGGCAAATGTTGAATTAAACGTGGATACGTTGTATTGGAAAATATTTTATCAAACAAGAGTAACAAAACTTGTTCAAGATATTCTTTGACAATTACAATTAAATCAGTACATGGTTTTTCCAATTTATGGTGTTCGCCATCGTACAAATGTACAAATAATTCAAATGAAATAAAATTGTCCAACCCAATACCAGACGATTCTTCGATCAATTTCATGACATATTGTGAATAGTT